AATAATTTTTAAAGTTTAATATAATAAAAGTAACTTCTAATTTTAATAAAGTATTTTAATAATTACTACATTGCTTTTTTTTACAACTTTGTAAAATAATTGAAGTACAAATAGCTTGGTCTTCTTCTTTAATTAATTCATCTATAAATAATTTTTTTATAAAGGCAAATCAATTTCATTAATATTAATTTTAATAAAACAATGCCATTTATCATTTTGTTTATATTTTGTACATCTAATAAAGTAAGATATTATATTTGTTAAATAGTCAATGATTCTTTTTAGCTTTGCAGATTCAGAACAATAAATTCTATTATATTAAAACATGCATTGAGATTCACTTGCTACTAAATAGATCCTTTATTAATAAATAAATAATTAATTAATTAGTAAATTTTAAATATAAGTTATTATTTTAAAATAATTAAATAAAAATAAATTATGTATAAGTTTTTATTTTTTGTTATTTAATTCTTAATTAATAGTTATTTTGTAATAAAAATCAGAATCAATATCAAAATTATTATGAACAATATTAAGGTAAATTGAATCACTAAATTCACAATGCTTAATACCTTGACATCTTCGCTCATCTTTTTTAGCAGAAATATTGCTAAAAAAAGGATAATTCTGTATAATAGAAGCATTACTATGACTATTAATTGAATATTAAACCTATAGTAATTAATAATTAAACTATTAATAATTTAAAATATTTATATATATAATATAAAATAAATAATTTAATTTTTTTTTACATTATTAAATGCATCCATATAATTGAAAAACTATGCTCTGTACACTTTATTAAAATTATTCTACTAGATATTTCAAGCTATCCTTTTGTTGCATTTCTGTAAATTGGAACTCATAATCATTCTCCACTACTACCAGAAAAAATACTAGCAAATATTAAAAATATATTGCAAACATTAATCAAACAAGCTATTAATAATGATAAAGCTTTAACAGTATATTCATTGATTATAGGTAATATATCTAATTTAATTTAAAAAATTTATTTAATTTTTAATTAATAATATAATAATAAATTTTATTTAAAGGAAATTTTATTAAAGTATCATTTGATACTGAAATATTTAGTCAAATTCATACTTTACTAAATAATATTGATTAGTTACAATATTTAATTAATAAATCATATAAAAAAATACATCTATATAAACAAAGTATTATGGGTGTATGGTATAATTTAACACAAAAAATTAATAATTTACACAAATATATTCAAAAAATTAGTATATATTACTATATAATTTTATTATTAATTTAATTATTATAATTTTTTATTAATTTTTTTTTTAGAATATTTTCATGATAAACAAGTTATAATTATTTGCATGTTGTCAGAGTTAGCTTATACATTACAAAAATTATCATATTTTCAAATTGATGTAAGCTATAAAAGAGTTAAAGAATTAATTAATGAATTTAAATATAATTCATATAATAAAGAACATAAAATTCATTAAGTATATTATATATATAAATTTTAATATTTTATTTAATTTAATAATTAATTTAATTATTTAATTTATTTTTTAGTTATATCCTATTATCATATTTTTACTAATATTTTTACAGCTGAAGGATATAAGCAATTATTTCAAATTTTATTTTAAATAATTAAAGAAATTACAGGAGAACATGTTATATTTTATCATATATATAATAAAGGATGAAAATGTATTATAGCTAACTTAGATTTTATTCAATTAAAAAGTTTAAGTATGGCAATTGAAGAAATTGGTAATTCAAAAACTTGGGATATACATCTTTTATATATATTTAAATCATGTTTGATACATTATAATCAGTAAAAATTTTAAATTAAATAATTAATTTTTGATTTTAAACTTATAAATTTAATTTATTAAATTAAATTATTTATTTATAAAAATATTCAAAAAAAATTTTTCTGACTATACAAAAAATTTAATATATTCAATTCTTAATTGTGATAATAAAGAATTAGTATTAAAAATTTTTGACTGATTGTTAAATTTAAATGAAGATAATATACAAAGTATTTTTATTTCAATAATAATATTTTTTTATTAAATTTATTAATAATAATTCTTTATTTAGAATGGGTTAAATACTATCGCATATCTTATATTATAGCTTCTTTAAATTATCATTACTCAAAAATTAATTTTGCTACTTAGATTGAAGCTAGAGATAATACAAATGCATCTGAAGCTTTTTATGCATATACTAATCGATCTGGAAAATAGCTAAAATTACTTTTAGCAATTAATCAGTAAATAATTTTTTTAATTTACTAAATAATTAGTTAAATAATAGTTCAAAAATCAAGAGATTTAACATAAATTAATCATTAATTTTATAATTTAGTAGAAAAAAATTGATGAAATAAC